TATATATATATATATACACACAGTATCCAGATTAAAAATACAATTTAAAGTAGATGTAACACCGTTCTGTGCGCTCTGTATTATAAGTGAATTGTTCTTTTCACCTGTTTTCCTTATTTGTTGCATCTCTGTGCTGCTGATCTTCTGCAGCCCCTTTTACAGCCCCTTCCTGCCTACATGCACTCCAGCAATGGCTGCGCGGCATTTCACAGGGCGGGTTTTCTGATGGTGGTGACAACAGTGGACCATGTCTGTGTAATGTGTGTTGTCACAGACACTTGTAGTATTCATTGGTATGACAGAGCCACAGCTTCGGAGTTTAGAAGTAGGGACAGAGTGTTGTCACCCTATAACAGGAACAAGGTCATGGCGGGATCACCAGGGATTATTATAATGAAAGCTGCATATGAATACATATTTGTATTCATAGTTCCTTTCTTAGCTCCGATGTAGATGGTAATATATCATTTTATGGCGCCATTCAGTGTTACATTTGTTTGCTGTTTCCTGCGCACAGGAAGTACCTGCCCTTCCTGAAGAAGTTCCCAGCCGAGTACATCTATGAGCCATGGAAGGCTCCGCGCAGCGTGCAAGAGAGGGCAGGCTGCATCATCGGGAAAGATTACCCCAAACCCATCGTGGTGCACGAAACGGTGAGCAAGCAGAACATTCAACGCATGAAGGCTGCCTATGCCAGGAGATCCGGGGCCAGCGCGGCGAAAACTGAGGGGGCGAGCCCCAAAAATAAAAAAGGTGAGAGGAACGGCTCGGTCCTGCAGCACTGAGAAAAGACAGCCGGATCCATCTTGAAGCCCAACTCCCGGGCACTTGGAAAAAAAAAGTCCCACAGCAGGGGTTGAAGGCCACGTTCACACCAGGGCGGTTCGGCTGCGTGGATCCAACCACATGAACGATACCATACATTGCTATGGGGACTGTCCATGCGACCGCGTGGCTCAGCCCAACACCGCCCCCCCCCGGCTTGAATTGCTCTCGGACCCTTTTTTGCCGGGCTGATTGGTGCGGCTTTCATACATCTTTCAATGGAACCGTGCTGCTCAGTGTGGTTTTGGGCATTTTTAATTGTGTTTCAGCGCTGAAACGCAATAAAAAAATGGCCAAAACCTCCCTTTTGAAATCGGTGTGGAAACCGCGCTGATCTGCAACCGCCGTGGCGTGTGAATGGAGTTTAAAGAAGAACTCTGCGGGGATAATTCTTAACCCTTGCAGTGGAGCTACCCCCCCCAACCCCCCACATTGCTGCAAGAGTTAAGTGCTCGTTTGTGTCAAGGTTAAAAAAGATAATAAGTTATACTCCCCGGAACCTGGGATCCAGCCGGCTCATTTCCTCTCCAGAGTTGTCCCCTGCGGTAATTCCAGTCTTCTGGGTAGAATGCAACAAAGACTGAGAACTTGCTGTAAGTGCAAAGCATTGAGGACCCGTCCTGCATCCCCGTGTCATTAAAAAGAGAGAGCGGCGCTGATGTCTTCGCGTCACCTCCACTCTCCGCATCCCACTACTGGGAGAAGGCAAGCGGAAGAGGAGGACCTTGTGAGTCACATGACCGGTCTGAAGACATCTGGATATGGTATGTATTTAAAAACACTTTGCTCCTCTTCTCCCTGGTGGCAGCACGGGGCACAGTGGGGGTGGAACAGGGAAGGCCGGAGATGGGTTTTGAGCTCTGGGTCTTGTCTGCATTGGTTTGACTGGCATAGGTGGAAAGATGAAATGGGAGGAAGTGTAAGAAGTTGATAAACGTCATTCTTCATTTGCAGGGGAGAAGAGGAAAGGCCCGTCTGTCGCTGAGCTCTTCAAGAAGAAGAGAAGTTAAATAAACATGACTCCGTGCAAAACGAGAACCGGCGACCACGTGACGGGGAAACCCGAACAGACTTCTGATCTGATATTATTCACTCGGCACAATGTCTGCCGCAGAGTCTGAGAATGTTTACACAAGTCAGGAAAAGGGAAATCTGTTACATTGACTTCCTGTCTTCATTAGGAAACCGCCTTTCTGACAACGCACGCCGCATTAGGTGGACTTCGCCGGAGGGATCACCAAGTATTTGTGAGACTTTTTCAGAGGGAACAAGAATAAAGAATTATAATTAGGTGACGCAACACACAATTTTTCTTTTTTAAAGGGGAGGCCAACGTTCTATTTTAAGTCGGCCACACACATTACAACAGAGGTAGCCAAACTCCGGCCCTCCAGCTGTGGTGGAACTACAAATCGCATGAGGCATTGCAAGATTCTCACAGCCACAGACAACACTCCCGGAGAGAGCTGCATCATGGGATTTGTAGTTTCACCACAGCTGGAGGGCCGGAGCTTGGCTACACCCCTGCATTACAATATCATTGTACAATCCTTTTAGATTTCCCAATTCCCAGTGACTATGGGGGCTGATGTATAAACCTTCCCTGCAGATCTCATATCATTACCGCCACCAGATGGCGCCTAAGAGCATAGAAACACCACTATGATGCCAGCGCCATCTAGTGGTAGTCATGTGAATGGCCTAGGAAGGTTATACATAAGTCTTTAAGTATGAGGTCTGTACTGGATATAAACTCATCTTTGATTATGTAGAACCTCACACTAGTTGTTGATTCTAAAGCACATTGTACAAACAGATTGTAGTGTGCATGGCCTCAAAGGGGCTTACAGGTGCCTTCACTTTTGCAAGCCCGAGGCGCAATCTGTATTCCACATCAATGAGAGCACTGCAACGGCCAATCAAAGTGTTGCACCTAGAGGTCAATAGTACTTGTTACAACTGTTACATGTTACTTTAATTCCACACTGCTTTTAAATAAAAGCTTTGAATGCAAGTGATCCATGTTTGCTTGAAGTCTTCCTAAGTTACTTTACAATAGAAAAGTCTCCCTTTATATCGATCCTTCACCTCTTCCCCAAAGCTGTATCTCATGGAGTCTGGGTACCTTGTATCTGGTTATTTGAATTATATTGGACTGATTTTAAAAGGATTATAAATAAAGAATTTATTAATATAAAAAAAAAAAGTGTCTTCCATTAATGAATACATTCTTTTTGTAATAAGCCACTTTATACGAAAGTAAAATATTTTTGTCTGCGCGTCGTTTCCTCCACACATTCGATATTGTGACATAGACGGAAGTAGATTGTCCGTGTGATTATAAGGCTGGTAGACAACCAATTAAAAACATTTAAAAGTTTAGCTTGAAAAGGTTCAGTGATTCTTTTATGAGATCTGTACATTCAGGCAGCGAGTGAAATCCGTGTCCGGAAAATGTTGTCAGGTGAGGTAAATGTAGGTTTGCTGAAGATCCGATAACCGAGTTCAGTACATTGTGCGGGTGCTGCGGCCACATCCCGTTTTATAGGTTTCTGCACCGGAGGACTGATCCCAATG